GCCGAGGTGATGAACGTCGACATTATGCCCAGTCGTACGCATGACCATCCATTCACCGCGGAGATAATGGCACCCCTTCTCCCCGACAAATACAGGTCGTCGTTGATTCCGCCTTACGATGGACGAGGAGATCCCGACGACCATTTGGAAATGTACACGGGGCACATGCTCTTGCACGGGTACGCCGAGGAGATCATGTGCCGAGCCTTTCAGAACCACCTGACAGACTCTGCCCGAAGATGGTTCCGAACGCTGAAGCCAAACTCTGTCTCCAGCTGGGATGAACTAAAGGAAGCATTTTCCCTCCAGTTCATCGGGGTTAAAAAGTACATATCCCCGAAGCAGAACCTAACGACGATATATCAAAAGCCAAATGAGACGTTAAGGGAGTGGCTCGCCAGATACGGCGAGGCCGTCGCCGCTACAATGGATATCACGGACAGGGAAGCCCTGATGGGAGCATTATCCAGTATGAAGAAGATAACTCCCTTCAAAAGGGAACTAAACCGAAAACCCCCTTCCAGCTACAAAGAGTTCCTTACAAGGGCGCAAGGATACATCAATGCTGAAGAAGCGGATGCCAACGACCCCGATCATAGGTCCAATAAGGGTAAAGGAGCCGAGCAGGGGTCGGCGCCATCAAAGCAAGACGGGAAGAAGCGTCGAGGAGGAGGAAGCAGAGACAAACAACCGACCCCGACGCAAGGAGCGCCGGAGGCCAAGAAGCCAAGACAGGAGGATACCCGCAGGCCTCGGCTGTTTCAGAAATACGGCACCTACCATGAATTGACGGCAGGCGTCGAGGAGATCTTCAACCAGATTGGCCGAGGAAACTTGCTGCACCGACCTGAACCAATGAAGTCGGATCCTAACCGAAGGAACCAGAAGAAATTCTGTAGGTTCCATGGCGAGGTCGGCCACCACACGAATGATTGCGCCGACCTCAAAGATGAAATCGAAAGAATAATCCGCGAGGGAAGGCTGCAGGAATTCAGCGCCGAACGAAGACCTCGCAACGACGGCCATGGCGGGCACGATGACGGTCGACGCCGAGAGGAGAACCACCGCCCGAAAGATCGGGAACCTGTCGGCGTCATACGAACGGTCCTCGACGGCCCCTACATAGGAGGAGACACGCGGAGGTCGCAGAAGGACTACGCCCACGAGGCCAAGGGGGTATACCAGGAACGGTTCTGGAACGTCTCCGCCATAAAAATCCCGAGGCATAGCCACACTGACGTGGCCTTCAATGAGGATGATGCCAGTGGAGTCCATTTCCCCCATAACGACGCACTGGTGGTGGAAGCAGTGATCAGAAACCACACCGTGTGTCGAATCTTGGTGGACAATGGAAGTTCGGTGGACCTCCTGTATTCCGACTGCTTGGAAAAAATGGGGATCCACGAGGGGCAGTTGGAAAGAACCACCAGGCCACTGTACGGGTTCACGGGAGACTCCGTCATTCCTCAAGGTACTATCCGACTACCTATAACCGCCGGAGAAAAACCCCGACAGGCAACAACGATGGCCAACTTTGTGGTCATCAAAGGAGGCTCCCAATACAACGCAGTAATCGGGAGACCAACCCTCTAGGCATTGAACGCAGTAACCTCCGTCTACCACCAAAAGGTCAAATTCCCCACCCCAAACGGCGTAGGAGAAATTAAGAGCAACCAATACGAAGTCAGGATTGCATACTCTGATACCCTACATGGATATGACCAGCCGGGAAGACAGGAAATGAGGATGGTTCAACAAGGCCTCATTGAGGATATAGACCCCCGGGTTCAAGAGGAAGTTACTTGGTCTCAGCCCGTCGAACAGTTGGAAGAAATCCAGATTGGCGAAAGCGGAACCACCAAAATACTAAAAATAGGTTCGGACTTGACCCCACCACTCAAAAGCGAAATTGAAAATTTCCTCAGGCAGAACCTGGATGTCTTCGCCTGGAGCCACTCCGACATGGAGGGGATCGACGCCAAAGTAATGTGTCATTCCCTAAACGTCGACCCCACGTATCCTCCCAAACGCCAAAAACAGCGACTAATGAACCCTGAGAGGTACGAAGCGGTGAAGGAAGAGGTCGACAAGTTAATCAACAATGGATTTATCCGGGAGGCGCATTATCCACGTTGGGTATCTAATCCTGTCTTGGTAATCAAACCCAACGGGAACTGGAGAACATGCGTCGACTTCAGCGACCTCAACAAAGCATGCCCAAAGGATGGCTTCCCACTTCCTCGAGTAGATCAAATGGTCGACGCCACGGCGGGGCACGAAATGCTGAGCTTCATGGACGCTTACTCCGGATACAATCAAATCCCCATGCATCCAGCCGACGAAGAGCACACATCTTTCATAACCGATAGGGGTCTCTACTGCTACAAGGTGATGCCTTTCGGCCTAAAGAATGCAGGGGCTACTTACCAAAGGCTAGTAAATAAAATGTTCGCTCAACAGATCGGCAAAACGATGGAGGTCTACGTCGACGACATGCTCATAAAAAGTGCCAGGGCCAGCCATCACGTCGATCATCTGGGAGAGATGTTCAGCATATTGAGAAAATACCGCATGAAACTTAATCCCCAGAAATGTGCCTTCGGAGTCGGGTCGGGAAAATTTCTCGGTTTTATGGTCAGTAACCGCGGGATTGAGGCCAACCCTGAGAAGATCAAAGCCCTGCAAGACATGCGGTCACCAACAATGCCAAAAGAGGTGCAGAGATTGACAGGTTGTGTCGCCGCCCTAAATAGATTCATATCGAAAGCCACTGACAAGTGTGTTCCCTTCTTCGACGCTTTGAGAGGAAACAAGCACTTCGAATGGACACCACAGTGCGAGGAGGCCTTCCAAAAACTGAAGGAGCATTTGGGCAAACCCCCAATTTTGTCAAAACCAAACGCTGACGAAGAGCTCAGCCTGTACCTCTCCATGTCTCAACACGCCGTGAGCTCCGTACTGATAAGGGAAGAAGGGAAGGTACAATTGTCGATCTACAATGTGAGCAAAAGACTCCTCGACGCTGAGTCGAGATACAACGAAATGGAACGTCTAGCCCTCGCCTTAATGATAGCTTCGAGAAAGCTTCGGCACTACTTCCAATCCCACTCAATACGAGTTCTCACAAACCACCCGTTGAGACAGGCCTTACAAAAGCCGGAAACGTCCGGACGGCTCCTCAAATGGTCGGTAGAACTAAGCCAGTTTGATATAAAATACATGCCAAGAACCGCTATTAAAGGTCAAGCGCTCGCCGACTTTCTGGCTGAATTCTCTCACAGGCCGACCTACACCCCATCTGAAGAAACCGAGGTTGCAAGATGGAAGCTTTACGTGGATAGGGCGTCGAGCGAAAACGGATCAGGAGCCGGCGTCTTACTAATCAGCCCTGAAGGCCACAAGATTACCTCGGCGGTACGGTTCAAATTTAAGGCATCAAATAATGAGGCGGAATATGAAGCCTTAATTGCCGGACTACGTTTAGCGAACCACTTAAAGATCGAGAGGATTAGCGTCTAGAGCGACTCCCAGCTAGTCATCGCGCAAATAAAGGAGGAATATCAAGCACGCGGTGAGAAGATGGGGGCATATCTGAGAAAGGTAATAGATGAGCTCGTTAAATACAAAAACTACGAGATACTCCAGATCTCACGAGCCGAAAATGCAAACGCGGATGCACTGGCAAAGCTGGCTTCATCAAAGGATGCCGACACACTAGGCGTTGTCCCCATTGAAGAATTGGAACGGCCGACCATCGAGGAGCACGGCAAGGCATTTAGTGTCCAAGAAGGAGGAAATTGGATGACACCACTCATACGGTACCTAATGGACGCACAGTTACCGAATAGTAAAGACGAGGCCTGACGAATCAGGTATGGAGCCGCCAGGTACTCATTATACGATGGCCTGCTCTATCGGCGAGGCTACTCAATACCTCTACAACGGTGCCTAGATGATGCCGAAGCCTAGAAGGTCCTCCAAGAAATACATGAAGGGATCTGTGGCAATCATACCGGGGAACAATCTTTAGCGCTAAAGGTTTTGAGGCAAGGATACTACTGGCCCACGCTCAAGAAGGACGCTTTTCAGTCCCCCCGACGATGCGATAAATGCCAAAGGTATGCCACGATTCCTAGAGCACCCCCGGAAAAGCTAACTTCCATTCTTAGTCCATGGCCCTTCGCCAAGTGGGGGATTGACCTGATCGGGCCATTGCATCCTGCACTTGGGGGGTTGAAATTCGCGATCGTTGCGGTAGACTATTACACAAAGTGGGCAGAGGCCAAGGCCCTAACTACAACCACGTAAGCAACCTGCACCAAATTCATGTGGGACCACATCATGTGCAGGTTTGGGGTTCCCCACTCGATAGTGTCCGACAACGGGAAGCAGTTCGACAACGCCGCGACACGCAGATTTTGTGACGGTTTGGGCATCTGAAAAGACTTCTCGGCGCCAATCCATCCACAGTCAAATGGGCAAGTTGAGGCCATCAATAAAATACTCAAATATACCCTAAAGAAGAGACTCGATGACCTAAAAGGGAGATGGGCCGAGGAGCTTCCTAAAGTTTTATGGGCATACAAAACAACAAGCCGAACTACGACAGGAGAAACGCCTTTCTCCATGGCGTATGGCGTCGAGGCGGTACTTCCCATAGAAATCGAAACGCCGACTCTAAGAACTGTTGTCCACAACGACGAGGATAACGCGGAGGGCATGAACGGAGAACTCGATTTATTGGAAGAAAAGCGACTCGACTCCCAACTACGTCTTGCCACTTATCAGCAACGGACAACGCGATACTACAATAAGAAAGTTCAGCAAAGGAGGTTCATCCCGGGAGACCTAGTATTAAAAAGGGTGACACAAAGCACAAAACCCAAGAATACTGGTCCCTTGGGCCCAACTTGGGAATGACCCTATCGCATAAGGGAAATGCTACGACCTGGCACCTACGTATTAGAAAGCCTCGACGGCAAAAAGGTTCAACACCCATGGAATGCTGAGCAACTAAGGTTGTACTACCAATAATGTATGAAGTTTTTATGCATTTTTTGTACATTCTTTGCAAATATAGTAAATTGATATGTTTTCAGCATGAGATAGATTGACCCCTTAATAACGTATCTGCTTAAAAGAAAACCCAAGGGTGTATTTAATAGACGCGGGGGGAATAAAGGTGCTCGAATCACTTAGTCAAATTCTAAGGAATTTCCTAAGACGATGACCCAAAGGGATAAGCTCGACGTCAAATCCTCCAAGGAGGAAAGACATAACACTTAGTGAAATTCTAAGGAATTTCCTAAGACGACGACCCAAAGGGATAAAGCTCGACGTCAAATCCTCCAAGGAGGAAAGACATAACACTTAGTGAAATTCTAAGGAATTTTCTAAGACAACGACCCGAAGGGATAAAAGCTCGATGTCAAATCCTCCAAGGAGGAAAGACATAACGCTTAAGTGAAATCCTAAGGAATTTCTTAAGACGACGACCCAAAGGGATAAGCTCAACGTCATATCCTCCAAGGAAGAAAGACGACACTTAGTAAATTCCAAGGAATTTTCTAAAGAGAAAGAGAAAGGAAAGCAATGATTATGAATCAAGGTATGAACAAAATCCATTGCCTTTATATATATATATATAAATGCGGGTAACATAAAAATTGTCTAAAGGAAATATTTAGTTACAAAATTTTTTTTTTCCCAAAGGCAATAACAAAAAGAGTGACAAAAGATGGTTCCTTAAGCATCGCCGCCACCAGCCGCTGGCTCCTCGCCGCCACCAAGGGAGGGAGTGTTCTCTTCGTCGCCACCAGGAGGGGGCGCTTCCTCGTCGCCAGCAGGAGTAGGAGAGTTGTAGAGGAAGCCCAAGTCCCAATCAGGATGCTCCTTTTTGATCAGGTCAACAATTTGCTGACCCGCCGACTAGAAATCATTATTGCGGATATCAAGGAGCTCTTGAGAAGCCTTGAACTCCTCAATAATCTGCGCCCGTCTGGCGTCGAAGGTTGCCTCGGCCTCCATCTTCCCGTCGACCTTTCCCTCGGTATAGCGATTCTCGGCATCCACGATCGCCCCAGCCAATTTCTTTTCAGACAAGTCAGCCCGTCGAGTAAGCCTTGCAACTTCAGCCTTCAGCTTGGCTAAGTCACTTTCCAGGCTAATCAGTTGGGCCTTCGCCACATCTCTCTCCTCGACGGCATCATCCCTGTCCTTCTTGGCCTCATCGACGAGAGACTGAAGCTCGGCCTCCAAATCATCCATCTCGCCCTTATGCTCCTCAACCTTGATTAGGTCAAGGAGGTTAAGAAGGGAAAGGACGAGGCTCTGGGAAATAGCAAGAAATCAGGAAAAGGAAAAAATGACCATCGGGTTCATGGAGAGTATTTAAAGAGTCGAGAATGAAGACCCCCAACTGTCGGATGAAAACCCCAAAAGAGCAACGGCCAGGGATCACTCTCCGAATCTGACGATAAGGGGAAGGGCGGGAAATCAAAAAGACGCGGATCCGACGGCCTATATTCATTTTCTTGAAACACGGATACTCATCATTATGCCAAACCAATCGACGCGACGGTTACACACCCGAA